AATATAATTTATAGCTTTAATATGTAAATTACTTACAATTTCCATTAACGGAATTTAGTTTGCGAAAGTAAATTATTTGTAAAATTTGTAAAAAAAGAAAAAATATCGTGAGAAAAAATTGTTTGTGGGAAAAAATTATTATTTATTTATAAAAAAAAAGTTTAAAAAAGTTAAAAAAATAGCTTAATCACGGGAAACTGAATAAATCACTTATCCAGCACTTCGAGCCGAATAACTAACGCTACCTATAAGGTAGCTAATAATATTGGGAATCAAATTTGATTTTCCCAATATAATAGTTATTTAATAAACTGCTGGATAAAAACTGATATTTTACTAATTAATAAAGATCTTAATTTTGATAGTATAAATTATATTGAAGATAATAACAATAAATAAGAGCAAAATAAAATGTAAATAATTATTGATAAATTACCCTTTACCAATCTATTAAATGCATAAAAATATTTGATTAAAATTGTTATATTAGTTTATTTATTAGAAGAATTAAATATTAATAATATTAATAATGATAATTCTAATGAAATTACTCTAATTATATCATACTTTCAAGTTTTAATTGCATTTAATATTTGTATTCTTTATTTTGAATAACAGTCTGATGAATTTAATCTTAATATTAAAGATTATATATAATTAAAGATTTAAGAAAAAGTTTTACACAAATGTATTAATAAATAAAAGCAAATAACTCTTTAGATTAAATAGCATTATATGTTTATAATAATTAGTATTATTTTATTGTTTTAATCAATTGTATATAAATAAAATTCATTTTTCAAAAAAAATATTTTATAATAAATATTCAATATAAGATAAAACTAGAAAATGTTTTAGAAAACTATTGTTAAGTCTGAAATATAAGTATAATAAAGAAACTAATCACATATTAACTCAAATTTTAAGTATACAAACAAATAAATATACTGTATATATTATTACTTTTAAAACATATATAGTCCTTTACTTTATTCTAGACTAATAAATATTTATTATATAAGTAATAAATTTTTTATATAATGAATTTAATTTACTAGTTCTAATAATTTGTTATATAAAGAATGAACTGTATTGCATATTATAAAATTTTAATTATTTATAAAAGTAATTAAAAGAGAATTTATAATAAATAAGTAAATAAATTTATCTGCAAATATCTATAATTTAAGGAATATTAATAATAATACTTTAAAAAAAATTTGACAATTTAAATTAAAATGTGAATTTAATTAATAAAAAAAAGTATTAAAAAATACTTATAATATTATTAAGATTATAATCATTATAAAGAAAATAAAGAAAATAATGATTATAATAATGATAAAAATAATAATCAACTTCTGCAAAAATAAAAAAAAATAGTATAAATTATATAATTAACTTTCACAAAACAAAAAAAAAAAAATGTTATAAATTTATTAATTAATTTATTTTCATTATTTTTTTTATTATATATCTTTTTAGAAAATTCTCCTTCTCTTCCTATTCTATTATCACTACTAATGTTTCATTTAATTTATGATTAAAAATAATAAAATACAAAATATATAAATTTAATTTATTATTATTTTATAATTATTATAGAAAATAATATTACTATTATATTAGTCAGTTAGCTGAAAATAAAATTTAAACAATTTAATTAATCCTTCAAATTAATTATAATAACTTTATCATAATCATACCTATATAAAGACATAATAAAAGATTATAGTAAATTAATAACAAATATTTTTATTGAACTTTTAGTTTATTTATTCACAAAATCCTATCTTGAGTTATCTTTTAACTCAAAGAAAAATACATGCTATTTATATAAAATAAACTAATAACAATATAATAAGATAAATATGTCTAATTTAATATATAATAAATAAGATAAATATAATAAATATAATAAAATTATCTATGTTGTTTTAGTTATTCAATATGTCAATTAATATTAAACCAATTAACAATATTACATTTGTTTAATCTGATATATTTATCATATTTGTTAACTAAGTCAACTATAAATTTAAATATTAATTTTTGGTGATCTTTTAATAATGTTAATTTTATAGCTAACAACCACTAACAATGTTGCTGATACTATTACTATCACTAAAATTATTACTAATATTATCACTACTATCAAAGCTATTGATATTACTAAAGTTATTATTAATAAAGCTATTTTACCAAAGTTGTTACTATCATAGCTACTACTAATAAAGCTGCAAGTATCAAAGCTATTATTACTAATGTTACTGTTATTACTACTAAAGATATTTAAAATACTTTATTTTAAAAACCTATTAATTTTTATCTTTTTTATATAATTAAAATTTTAATTATAAACAAAACAAAATTATTGCTTTTTTTAAAAAAATATGATTATTATTATCATATTATACTATATTAAAATAATATTAAAAGAAAATTTTATCATAAATTAATTTTGCCTATTTTGCCTAGGCTAAATAAAGTTTACTTTAAGATTAAATTAAATTAATAGTATTTTTTATCTTTTAGTCACTATTACTACTATTATTAAAGTTACTGCTATCATCATTAAAACTATAAATGAGAAACAAAATCCAAAAAAGCAGCTAAAATTATATTAAAATATAGTGAAGGATATATCAAAATCCAAAAGTTAAAACTATATTACAACATAGTAAGATATACAATAAAATTATTTAAGGAAGTTTTAGAAAGTATTTATTATTAAAACTTTAAAAAAAATAATTTTATATTTATTTTTAATATTATATCATAAAATAATTATATATAATATAATATAATAATAATTTAAGAAAATCAAGAAATAAGAAAATTTATTATTTTGATAATTTAGAATTAGATAAATATTTTATTTTATAAAACTCTTATTTATATTATAATTAATTAATTTATATAGAATAAACGAAAAAATATAATTTTATTATTATTTTTTTATTAATAAAAATTTATTAATTAATTTTAAAAATATAAAAATTTGTATTTATTTAATGATTAAAGTCTAATACAGTATATAAAAAAAAAAATTCTTATAAAATTTTGAGTAAAATTACATATATAATTTAATATTTACATATAAAAATTCTAACCAAAATTACATATATAATATATTGACTAGATATATAAATTCAGTATTTTTTTGGATATAAAAAAAGTCAATTTTCAGTATTTAATATATAAAAATATTTATGAATATTTTTACTTATATTATATGTTTTTTAAATATATTATTTCTGTATACTTTTCTTATATAAATTATTTATAGAGATATATCATCAATTTGAGAAAGTGAATAAATATCTTTCTTGATTATTTTTTCAATAGTTTTCTTTCAAATTTAAAAGTAATTTTACTTATACTTTAAAGTTAATTTTAAATATATTAAAAATTAATTATTAAACTAATAATATTTTATAATAAAATTTATAATGTTTTTTTAAGTAAAATCAAAATTTTTTTATTAATTTAAAATCACAGTTTTGAAAATTTTTTAATAAAAGTATTTCTTTATAATAGCTAAAATTTTAATTTTTAATTATTTTTATATTATTAAAAAACTTTACAAAATATGAGGCCTTTGCAATAGAAAAGAAAGAAATTGCTGAAAAAATCAAAAATGAGTTACAGCTAATTTCATAATTCATGGACCATTAATAATTTTTCAGTCGCATTCAGTCGCAATATTTTATAGTAATTTTATTATAAAATATTTTCAGTCGCATTCAGTCGCAATTTATTAGTGGTTCACGAATTATGAAATTAGCTGTAATATGATTTATCGCTAGTGAAGCTAAAGGTGAATTTACGTCCCTTTTATACATTTTACTGTCAGTTCCACGGCAAAGATCCCAAAAGAATCACCCATTAATACTAGTATAATTAGAAGAGAGAACCCGCGTCGAAATACAGGCCTGGAATAATTGTGAAAATGATATCATGTCTATACCCCTATTTCTGAAAAAAAAATGTTAAGATCTAGTCTTGGCATCTGTATCTAAAGACGAAAAAAGTTAGTGGCATCCCCATTCCCCCATATTCCCACAACATATTCAAACAACGAATAATAATGATAATAATATTTTTTCGTAAATGCTTAGCCGTGAGGCCTTACGCAAGAGAAAACTTTTTTATTAATAAAAATTCATTGAAATATTCGTTAGGTAGCTTTGTTATTATGTAGTTACAGTATGTGAATAATCTATATTATAAAGTCCTATTCTCTTATTTCATTTTTTGTCTAAAGAAAGACCAAAGGAAGAACTAAATATCTATCTAGATTTTTTTTCTTGCTTCGATTATATAAGAAAAAAGGACTTCTTTTCGTTCGTTGCGCAGTTTGATATAAAAAGGTAGATCATTGTCAAAAAAGCATTTCAAAGGCAGAGGAGAGGGTATTTATAAAAAAATCAGAAATATCCGCATGAATATTTTTGCGAAAAAATATCGGGAACATTGGCGTAAATTTTACATCCCTTGTACCCTCACGATTTGCAAATATGCACAAGCTTATCTAATAAAATATACTGTTTATTATCTAGATTGGCCGATATACCCCTATTGCAAAAAAAAAATCGAAATAAAGAATCTACATCATGGATCAAGATCTGTAAAAACAGTAGATGATAAACCACCCATGCTGGATTACGTACTGCTAATTAGATTCTATTTCCATTTTTGAATTTCTTTTTAACGACGCCCTATTCTTCAGCAAGAATTTCCCCGATATCGTACTGCGCATTTCAGGTGATCGATTTCCTCACATGATTATTTCGACGATAATTACAAACATCTCTAATCCTTCTATCCGACCTGATTTTTATGCAATCTATTTTCGACCAGCTTGCTTAAGCAACTCCCCACTGCTTTTAATCGAGGAGGCTTTAGAACACCAAATTAAAGATAAGTAAATTTAGAGTATTATATTAGCTATGGAACAATACTTACTAATCGATTCTGACATTAGTATTGTGGATGGAGATTACGAACTTTTGAAGGCTCTAGGATTAATAGATGATGAAGAACCAGAGATAGTTGTTGGTGAAGATGAATTTGAGGAAGATGATGATGCCGATGATGATTGGGATGAATTCGAGACCGATGATGACGAAATGTATGACGGATGGGATTATTTAGCCCGTTATGGAGAAGATGCATGGGAAAAACTTCTTCAAGCTCGGTTGGCTCGTCATCGTAATATCCTTCTTAGACTATTTACCAGACGCCTTCCCAATTTATCTGAACAAGCAAAAAATGTATTATTTGATGCATTTTTTAGATCTGATGCATTTGGAGTATCAGAACACAATGCATTATTGGACGCGCTAGCTCATCCTGTGGAAGGTTTAAGTCTTTCAAAATATGATGAGCTCGGATTCTATTGGTCTATACGATTTAATCTTCACAGCCCAATATCCTTCTGCGCAGAAAAAATGCGAATACAGCCCCTATTCTTCAGCAAGAAATTACCCGATATCGTACTGCGCATTTCAGGTGATCGATCACACATGACGTAGTTCGATAGATAATATCTTAACCTAGGTTAAGGCAAAGATTTCTATAAACTGGGTATGAGTATCTTCCCATTTTTTTATATTATCATCTAACCATCCAGTTTTAAAACGGCGCTCTATCATACTACGTCGCATCAGCTCTTCACCAATCAATCTATCGCGATCTGTTAGAAATGGATAATATTTTCTAGGATCGATCATAAGGGGATCATCTCTCTTTCTCTCTATTACTTTACGATATAATTTCTTATCATTTTCCAAGGCAGTTAGGAACTGTTCACGGTCCCATTTTTTCTTCTCAGCTTCCGTAACAATCGAAAATTTCTCTGGATCGAGACCATGTTCAACGGCATATTGATAAAGTCATTCCATCTTATTTGGATCAGTCCTAGGAATCGGCGTTCGAGAAGATGCGGATGGAACACTTGCTTTAGATGTGATTGATGAAATCATTTCCGGACCTGAAGAATTAGAGATGTGTGTTAAAGGTGCGGTTGGGACGCTTTTCTCAGAAGATTCAGTCACGTGCGCGTGACGATTTGTCACGCTGATCATTTTTTGGCATTCATCTGTATCATCCGTAGAAGACTTTTAAGTCTTGGGAAAACAACTTATAATGCCTTGGATCTGAATTTCTATCAGACTTGAAATAGCACTTGCGCTATAGGTAACTGCTTGAATTTTATCTATTCCTATCCCCTCGAATAATATATAAACTTTTTTAGCTCTAGAAGTGATTTTACGCAAGTTCACGTCAGTAATGTCTGGAAGAAGGGATTTGATTTCGCTGTATACCAATGTCCTTGCCGATTGGTCGTCAATCTTATTTGTAGATTTAACATCCCTAATTCAATCCTCGTACGCTTTATAGTAACAATACCAGCATAATATCTCCTTATGTCTGACCTTCATTGCTACATTAAATAGATCGACTATGGTTTGTGCTGTAATTTTACTAGACCCTGCTAGGATCGCTTCTAAGGAGAATTCGGGTATCTGAATGTCAAAAACCATGCCATCGCTGTCTTTACTGCAAAAGGATGATAGTTCCTGTCTTAAACCTTGCTCCACTTTTTGCCTATAGAGGATTTTTTGATGTGACGGAGTGTTCTGCTTATCTCCCTCCTTCAAACATAGTTTTTCGTCATCTTTCTCTGAACACGAACTAGTGAGTGGACAGGATGAGACGGGAGTAATTGAGGATGAGTCCTGGGTAGTCAATTCATGCTGAAGTTTTATTTTCCGCTTTCTCTCCCTTATCTCATTACTAACCTTCTTCCTATGCACCCCATCTAAGAAAGAATCCGTCTCTCTATCATCCTCCAATGATTTAGATTCGGTAGTATCATACTGGTCTACAACGGAAGGTTTATTAGTTTGATCTAAAGGTATTGAATCGAAATCCTGAGATATAGGGGGCGGTCTCTCTCGAGACCCCGGGTCAGCATTATTCTTTTCAATAGAATGATCAGAGTAATCCGATTGCTTTGAAATCCCCTCAATAGATGGCGAAATAGATGATTGTGAAGTTATTGGATGAATTGGAGACTTTGGTATGGGTGTATTGCTTTGTGCCGAAATATTAACAGCATTTTGTTCCTGTTTGATTTCCCTGATATCATCATCTAATTTAGCAATAAGGGTGGTCTTTTCTTTATCTTTCTGTTCTAGGTTCGTGAATCTGGCTTCATGTTCTTCCAAAGCATGCTTTAACTTCACATTCTCAGCCTTGACTTCAGCATTCTCCTTTCTAAGTTCTGTAATCTCGGCTAAGAGCTTCGAATTTACTTCTCTCAACGAATCGATCTCAGATTGCATGTTTGATAAGATTTTTTTTATACGAGATGGAATAATTCAAAAGTTCGAGTTAGTATAGTAATAGATAAAAAATCATGTGCGCGTGACAAATTGTCACGCAGATCATTTTTGCCAAGAAAGTTTTTTTATTAATACATGCGAAAAATAAATACAACTGTTCGGGACTGTGCCCGTGATACATGACGTCTATGCTAATTACGGCTAATTATTTTTTCTTGATTATCTCTTCTACACGACGCTTCTTATTTGCAGGTTCTTCACTAGCCGATACCCTATCCTTTAATAAGCCCACTATAACCTCTAAAATCCTCCTCACGTTCTTACGTAAATCGGTTGAGTCCTTGAGTGCGTCTTCAGTCAGAGAGATGCGATACTCAGTCTTGCTCGTACAATAGATAGCCTCGGTACTATGTAGGATGAAATACCAGTCCGTGGCTAAGAAATTATAAAACAAGTTAGTGATGCAAAAGACTGGAGGAATAAAAAAAAAACAGATTCACTAGAGTCATTTTCTCACCTGTTGTGACGATACCATAGACATATTCATACTCCTCGAATGCGTACGCTTTTTCTTGAGCGTATCTAAGTTCATCTATGTTTACAGATGAGGATTTGTTAGTATATTCTGATAGAAGGATAGTCGAATGGAGGCTAGACATGGTATTACTTACTTCACACGAACTTCGACATTGCATTAGATTTTGTGCCACACCTTTCCCCGGCTGGTTTTGCTTTCCTTCGGTTATGCATATTATTTCTTCGAGCAAATCATCCAGTATTTTCTTGATCGCATAATCTACACGGCCGGAACTTTCTTCACCAGATACATTCATCTGAGGCAAGATTACCAATCCTCCTAGGATGCTGACAGCAGTATGAAGGATTGTAGAAATGTATTCACAACGCATAGCCTCATTACTATCTACGACTGGCCCCATGTTTTTATCCTACGAAGAATGTCATCAATGCAGAGCTTAAACTCTGGAGATTTTTCATCGATTGGGTGGGGGACTATAAATGGAGAATGTGTAAGTCAATGGAAATTTATAACGAAAAAAAGTTGGCATAATTTACCTGGTATGAACTGAGGGATGCTCGTTATGCATTACTTTTAATGCCGTATTTTTCTAACACTTCCTCCAAACTACGGTATGAGGAGAACGCACGCTTCGGCTTTTCTTTGAGGGACTTGGCCTCTTTTGCGAGTTTCATAGCCGGGCCCATTTTCAAGCCAGCTTGCTTAAACTTTTCTTCTGTCATATCAAGGAAGGAAGGGCCGTCAATTTTTTCGTTGCGGAGTATTCCCAAGTCATCGTCATCGAGCTTGAGGTTCTGCTCTTTCAAAAAATCGATAAGGGTTTCTGTATCCCAGTTATCGACCAGGTAAGAGTCGTGTTCAGCTGTTGAGGTAGACATAGCGTTACGTTTTTATAGGGATATTAGGCTCGGACAAAAAAATAGTGTTACTTTCCGGAGCAAGATAAAATTTTATTTCTGTTCGGGAAAGGGAATACTGGGCATTAATATAGGTTTTTATGTGGCACAGGTTTTGCATCATTACACGTGACCCTTTCTCATATACGTTCGATAAAATAATACTTTATTTATGAAATAAATAAAAGTTGCCGGAAGTCGGCCTACAATACATAAAATTTGCGACTATGCGAAGCGCCTTAACGGCTATCGCTACATGATACAGAAGATTATTCTGACCGAGGGTATACAGTGATATGGAAGTGCTCTGCTTTAGGTTCCTCAGTAAAATAATTGGAAATAGGATCCCTATACACATCCATTTCCTTTTCAATAGCGCTTCCGGCTTGAATTATACAAATTTTGAGAGAGTTTTATTAAACGGTGCTCCCAGTCTGCTTTGAATTGCAGTCAGGAGGTCGATATAACCTTTATTTTTGCGAATTGTAATCGCTTGCATTACTTTAATACAAGGAATATTCATGAGTTTTCCTATAGGAACAATAAGACAATTGAGAGTGATGTTTTCATCAGTCATTTTGTTTCCTAAATGCAAGAACCCATAGTGAGAAAAAACTCGCTCCCATACATACACAACTTCTGGCATATACATACCTTAAAAATTTTCGCAGTAAAGTTGGCTGAACTTCCGCATACCTCTACATGCTTTATATATTACTAGGAAAAAGGTAAGGAGGTATGAGGCGTAATTAGCATTGTTGTATGATGCCAAGAGCTCTATGAAAGCACATGTAAGTGAAATTTTCATACCTTTTCACATGTAGATCTACCGGAAAGACATAGTTAGTTTTACGCCTGGCGATCTCGAAATTGAGAGTCCCTCAGCCCTTCATAACATATGCTTTTGACGTTAATATTTACTTTTACAGTAGGTCCTGCGTTGCGACTAGACGCCCTTTCACATTTTCTCACATTTGTTTGGGGAAAAAATAAAGAATAAAGGTTAATAAAGTTTCTTTTTCGAATATATGCAAAAATTAATATGTCGCACAAACCTGTCTAGTGATCCACCTATTTTTTGTCGCACAATCTGTGGCTCAGCAAATTCTTCCGAGCTGGTGATCGGCACTCTATATTATTCTGTTTCAAGCCTTTCTATCAACTCATCCAAAGGAAGATTCATCCCCCATAATTTGACTTCTTGAAATTCCGCAAAATAATTTTTTCCTCATCACATCCGGAAAGCTTTCTAAGCCTTTCTAATTTTTGATAAAATACCCTTACGGCCTTACCGATTCATTACCTTGTTTCAGCTCCCCCACTTTGTATTTCTGTATTTCGGTAGAAAGTGTTGGATCTCTAACTAAATATTTGACTATCTCTTTAAAGGTTTTTTAAACCCAAACTCTTCTGCGCGCGCTTTTTATTATCGGATGATAATCCACTGATGAATTTTACTTTAACGTCTACATCATCCAAATCTTTACCAGTGAGCATAGCATAAAGTTTTATGTACTCGAAATATTTACTAATAGAGCTATTGCCCTGCGTCATTCACAGCCTCAAGCTTGTCGTTCTTAGCTTCAAGTTCAGTGATACGCTGTTTCAATAATTCAAGCTCGGATGACATGATCTATATATAACTAATACAATGTATATAATAAGCATTCAAAATAAAAAAAATGTGTTTTTTGACCGGGGCACCCCGGCTGAACTTTGCCAAGAAATTTCAATACAAGAATCTAATAAAGGTAAAACATTTCTTTATTAAATATCGGGAAGTGAAAGTTGAATCAATTATGAGTAATTATTTGGATGCACATTGCACGCTAGATTAATTTAGATAGAATAGAGGATTATTAACTAAATAAATACAATGTTTGGGACGTAGCCCATGATACATATTATTAATAAATATTGATATTGAAGAGTATTTTTTTTCATGATGTAATTAGTTTCTGCAAAGTAAATTATACAAGACCAATGATTGATGCATTGTTTTTGTAAAGATATGCGTTCTTATTATGAATCTCTGATTTTTTCACATTCTTCGTAAGGTGCTTCATTAAGTTCTGCTTTGTGTTCTGTACCATATACGTGGAAACAGGTATCTTTGTTATAACCACCTAAAGTTGACCAATCATAATCGGTGCCAAGAGTAACCCAGTATGTTGTAGTATTATCTAACGTATGATAAGTAAGAATACCATTTCTTAAATCCGCATGAAATCGTTCCATACCATTAAAGGTCGCACAACCGGAACAATAATAATATGACGGTTTATTTGGAATATTTGGAGGAATAAAAGTTATGATTTTGTGGTTAACATCCTCCTCCCAAACACAACAATACGCTGTACATAAATAAAATTAAATTAAAATCAAAAAATATACATGATATCAAATCACTCATGGAATTTAGCTCAAGAAAATCAGATATAATTACCTTTATCATCACCACCCCAATTCCTAAGTAGAACCTCATATGCTATATATATTATTAAATAAATTAAATCACTGTATTTAGAAACTAATAAATATTTCAGAGCTTTTTACCTTCAGTGGCTGGCATCAAAGCTATGATATTCATTAAGCTACAGATGGTTACAATGATAATAAAAGTGAAAGAAATAGGACGTCGCATAGTAAGTTTAATGTGTTTTTTAAAATAATTTTAATAATTTTTAATAAGCACTTTTCTTTCTTATTTATATAAGAAATTTGGAATAATCACGTTGTTAGATTGAATGAGAAAAAAAATGGATTGTGAATACAAGCTAAAGAAGAAAGATGAGCGGATCATTTCAGGGGAATTAAGTTTCTGAAAGTATTTTTTTTATCCATTGATAAACGTAATTCAGAATCATACGAAATTAAAAATTTTGGTTATTCAAGATAATCAATAGGAAATTTCCTAAACTTTATCAACTAAAATGCTAGTTGATTTTCTTGGTAAAATGATTTTCCATTCGATTACACTATGAATTTTTTCCTATACATGTCAGATAAGCATGGGGGAACATTCCTAATTGCCGATTATTAAATTATGATATTAAGCATTGGTCTTATGCCTGGCGATCTCAAAATTGCGAGACCCTCAGCCTTTCATATGTTTTTGTCCATACTATTTGCTTTTAAAGTATGTCCTGTGTTGCGTGTAGACAAAAAAAATGAGAAAATTTCACATGACACAAAATGATTTTCATTCACTAAAATAAATAAAGATCAAATTTGTATCACCTGATACAAAATAAATATTGTGCACCCTTCCTTTTTTCATGAAAAAATTCCCACCAAATGTCTTCCCTAACGAAAAAAAATTGTAATTAAACTCTATTACATTTGTGGAATAATGGCATTCATAATGCCAAAGAATTACATAAATTAACGAATATTCCACTATCAACAATTTATAGAAACATACAAAAAATAAAAAAAATGGTTCAATAAAGCATGCTGGAGGAAATGGACGGCCTAAAAAAATTACTGCATATACTTCTCGTGTGCTT